TAAGGTCTGAGTATAAAGTGGGTGAGGGCGCTCTGATGGAAGTGAGCCAAGCCACATGATGCATGTTGTGTTTATACTGGTGAGATGCTCAGGTTGCAGATGGAGGAAGTGGAGGTGATTTTCACAGCACCACTCAGTGCTCACTGATCCATTCAGCATTTGTCGGTCATGTCCATGTCATGTTGACATTATTTTCATGTTCAGATTAAAACAATAGACCATAAACCCTTAAACAACACACTATACACATTTTTATAATTGACAGTTGTGTGAATAAATGTTACCAATTTGTAGATGATTTCTTCTTTTCAGTTGATTTACAGATATTCTCTACAGTTACCACATTCATCTTGGAAACATCGTCTAACCTGTAACACCTGCATCACACTGCTGTGTCATTTTCTTCTGTACTGTGTCACATCTTCATTGACCTGTCAGAGTAACACACGAGCATCCACTGTGATTAATAAAACCTCCTTGAACCGATGTGCATGGCGGCCGTTAGCTGACCTGCGGAGGACCAGCTGCTGTTAAACAGTGCAGTGATGAGTCAAAGCTGACCTGAGGTGCTCTCCTGAGCTCATTCTGCTAAATTTCAGCTTGATGGGAAAGATCAAGTGCTGCATGGACTCCCCTCAGCTGGCTGCTGTGATACAGGCTGTCTCTTTATTCAACTTTGACTGATTGGTGGATAAAAAACTCAATTTGTGATCTGAGCATGTAATATCTCTTCCTACAGTATGTGTAGTAAGTAGTTGTTGCCAGTTGACACACCTCTGCTGTTTCGCAAACCTTGTAGAGTGGACAAAGGTGTATATTAACAGTAAAATAAAGCTTGAGGGTTCTTCCAATTGTAAAAATGCATTTAAGCACCAATGAACTATTGTTAAAGTGTTGAAAGAAAATCATATAGTATGTCACTTTTGAAAGTAAGTGCAGTAGTATACCATTCTGCTGTTAAAGAGTGATTCAAAGAGGGTTCAGCTATCCTGGCAGTAAACCATAAACAGTGTGGTCTAATACATAAATTACAGCTTCCATAAAAGTACTTTTGTACACACTTTTAAGTGATTGTTTCAAGTTTGGACGCGGCAGGCTGTTCCCATCAAAGCACAGATACATCACTCACAAAAAAAGGTTCACCATGTACACAATGAATGTGCCTAAATAGAGGGATCTCTGCAGCATTCAAGTGCTCTTTGACTAGTAGGCTTGGCCCATCAGGTGCTTGTTTGTGTGCACTTAAGATGACATACTGTAAGAGCTCAGTTAGTTTGAGTGTTTTTCTCTCTGTCACATCTCAGAGACAGCTCTACTGTAATCCTGACCTTCTTTGGCAGTCTGTTCCCATAGTGTTCATTTCCTTATTTGTCCATATATTGCAGCAGCCATGATGATGGAAGAAGTTAAACACACTCACATTTGAAAGATTCGGTCAATAATCAAACTTGATTTGGTGATTCATATTGCAGAGTACTCTTAATTTTGTTAAGGTGGAATTGGTGGTGATGATTTGGGACTTTGTTATGATCACTCACCTAACTTTGCAACCACTTAATGGACTGGATTGTTGGTTCAAAGGTCAACCCTACAAACTTAAAAACCAATACTCACAACCAGCTGTTGAAAAATGCTCTATGAAGCACAACCAGACATCTATGTGTAGTATGTCTCACTGTCTCCATGTCACCTCAATGCCAGCCATCTCTGGCTCAAACGGGACAACAATGCACAACAGGCGTCACTGAGGACACAATCTGAACAGGATAGGTGTTCCTTTACCAACAACGTTGAGCTACGATCTCTCCAAGCATAAATGCATTGTATGTCAAATGTCGTTGTGTAGGATAAAATAAGCAACTCACCAGATATTTGGCACACGCGCTGATAGTCCTCGCAGCAGTCCCCGGTTTTCTGACAGTAGGTATCACAGTAGCACACTGTTTTTCTCTTGCTGTATTCAAAACATTCGTTGTTCCGGCCAGTGCAGCAGTTTGGGCTCTCCCTCTCCCTGCAGCCCGCCTCAGCCCGCGGAACAAGTTCCCCGAAGAAAAACGCTAAATATCCACAGATGACAAACACAAGACGCGCTGATCTCCATCCATGCGCTCCCATGACGGAAACTGTTCTGGCTCCACACTCACACACACACACTCCGCTGGTGTTATGCTTCACTTTGGATGGAGCTTAAAACTGAGTTACGATATAAAGACCCTTGTCGTAATTTCTGTCTAAAATCCAAATCCAAGGTAAACTCAGCATTGACACCTCGACACAAACAACTGATGCGTAAAAGTGGAGGCTGTGTGGCACCAGCTCCTCTATCAGTCAGTCAGACACCGCCCCTTGCAGCTTCTGTTGGTTATTAGGGAAGGCGTACAGTACCAGCCTCTCTCTCTGTCTAACAAACACTCACACACACACTCACTCACACACTCACTATCTATCTTTCTCTCTCTTTTCTCTCACTTGGTTGCGTAATTTGTAGCTCTACGAAATAACAGCTATAAGAGCAAGTTTTTTTAAATGATATTAAAGCATATTGTAATTATGTCTGTTGCTAAAAGCTGAGATGCAAATCAAGAAGTTGCTTATTTTTTGTAAAGGCTGCCAAACCAATCAAAATATAGAAGTTTTTTAAATGATTTGAAAGGAACTCCAAATATTAGTAGGCCTAACGCACAAGTGGAAAAACACACACTATCTGTAAGAGGAGCCTATAAGCAACGTTTACATCAACTTGTAACGATTCAGCACCACGGACAGCGGCGCAGCTACTTTATATTAATATCATAACATCAAATAAACGTTAAGATAAACAATACGATTCAGCCAACAGGTGCTGCGGAAAGTGACAGGTCCCTTTGAGCAGTTCGGTCAAGTTAGAAGGTTATTGACAGATTCGAACTTGACAGATGAATAACTCATAAATACATCTTTGTTAAAACACAAACTAAATCTTATATAATCCGTAGGAAGGTAGACAACAAGCTGCAACCTATAGTTTTCATTCAAACAAGCCCGTCTTTCGAGCTGGACAACATTCATCGGTCTCTTTCTGCAGCCGTAAGAGAGACAAGCTCCAGGGATCGTCTGCAAAGTGCAACGCCGAAAAGCAAAAACAAAAATAATGTTGTAGCATGATTAATAGGCGACCATAATGTGTTATGAGATGCTATTGGCACTTTACTGTATGACAGGGAAGTTATTTAACATTGTGTAGCTTCTTCTGTTAACTCACTCGGCATTAGGGCCATTAGCTGTTGTGTGAGGTCACAATGGGTCACTACTAAAAATTGATTGATTGATTATAAATGTTTCAATCTAAAAACCGCAGTGCCACAAAAGTAAGAACTACTTGATTTGTGAATGTTAACCGAGTATTTCTATTCTACCGTACATGTTGCAAAATAAAGGTAGGAGAGTTATGAAGCCACACCTCTCAGAAAAAGAGGGATCTTAACTTTTCATCTCTGGAGTTCAAAGATGGCTAATGTCTGCGAAGATGATGAGAGATTTTAGGCAATTTTGGCCCAATCCTCTTTCTGGCAGCAGAGAGGAGGAGGGACTGATGATGTTAGGATGAAGGGATGTTGGTTATTTCTTCTTTGACCCCTCTCATAAAGCCCTATTGTACAGATATGAAGGGAGAGGAGGCCTCTCTCATCACTGTGTGTGTGTGTGTGTGTGTGTGTGTGTGTGTGTGTGTGTGTGTGTGTGTGTGTGTGTGTGTGTGTGTGTGTGTGTGCCAGAACAGCATGGAGGGCAAGATCCTCACATGTGATTGAGACTCTGGCAACAGCTCCACCTACTGTTTAAGAAGAACTACTAACTTGTTAATAGTCCCATAAACTGAGCTGCACACACAGACTGTCCACTGTCCTGCACCTTTAAGACAGTAATTCAGTACTGTACTTTTACAAATATAATCAACACATACATTATTTTTGCTTAATTACAGATTTAACTATGCTGTTTATAAAGTAGTTCAAATTAGACTCACCTTTACATGCTGCAAAAAATACAATGATGTTGTGCATTAACACATAAATAACATCAATACAATGAAGTTTAATATTTCTCTTAAATGGAGCTGCCTGAATGCTATTACTTTGTAATTTAATTTTAGAAAATATTGACTCCTTCGCTTTCTCTTAAAGGTGGGGTAGGTACGTTTGAGAAACCGGCTCGAGATACACTTTTTGTTATATTCCATGGAATGCTCTTAACATCCCGATAGCAATTAATATCTTAAGTGCTTTGACAAAAAATCCATAAAAAAAGGTCATCTGTGAAAGCCGTAATACTGTAAAAAGTACGACCAATCATTTTAGCCGGCCCGGCTAAAATAACTGGATGGCCTACCTGCCTGTCAGCCTTCTATCTGTGCACAAACTTATCTCGTGCCCTCATTGGTCATGTGCACGTTCGTGTGTGTTGGAGGAGGGGCTCTGTAAGGAAGTGGCAGATTTTCTCCGGTTGTGTATTTTCAAATTCTAGCGATCTCGAGCCGGTTTCTCAAACTTACCTACCCCACCTTTAAGTATAAGATATGAGTACGTTTTCACTACTGACAAATATTTATAATATTTCAGTACACTTTCCTCACTTCCTCATTCAGGCCAAAAATGTGCACTACATGCTGTCCTCACTCCCATCTTCTGCACCGAGCTGTGCATTCCTTCACTAGGGCACCACGGATGTAACGCGTGTGTGTGTGTGTGTGTGTGTGTGTGTGTGTGTGTGTGTGTGTGTGTGTGTGTGTGTGTGTGTGTGTGTGTGTGCGCGCGCGTGCGTGCGTGCGTGCGTGAGAGAAAGAGAGCGATAGTTGCATTACTCTACATGAGCATCAGCCAAAACTGGGACAATGAGTCCCCTGTTGGATTCCTCCCTACCTGCCCCCCATGGATTGTCCCAACGTGATCTGTTGTAACCAAAAGGGTAGAACAACAAACGAACAAGGGATGTAGAAGCTAAAGAAAACAGTCTCATGCTTTTAAGATTTCAGATGCTTGTTTTAATGAGTTTTGAAACCCCCCTACTAAACAAAAGAACTGAACATTAAGCACAGACAAATAGAGGGGACAGTGTTTATGCTCAAGCTTCATCATACCCTCTGAATACATTGATTTGCAATAATAATTACATTTTCTCTTGGATATTTGGCAGTTAGGATCACAAGCATAGTTCGGTCAAAACTGAAAAATGTTATTAAAAATGTATTACAGAAATAGTGAAACACAACCCATCCGTATTTAAATTCAATTATTACATGAATACATATAGATCATGACTGTTTTCATTATCATTCAGTTGTTGTGTCGGTAAGATGATTTAAGAGATGAATATTCTATTGATAATAAATTAGGATTTACCTCAAGTAGCATTCACAGTGTAACAGACAAACAAAAGGCACATGAGTGATAAATAAAAATGAACCCTGAATGAAATACTGAATCAGAACACCAATGGAAATTGATTAAAATATATTGTGAGTAATCTTAATATAAATATATTACATTTAAATACAAAATATATTATTTTGTATGTGTTTAGCAGAACAATATGTCTCTTTTTTCATTTTCAATCATTATTGTGTGTCCCGCTGCCAGGGTCCAAATATCTGGGAATAATTCATTTAGGGAAAATATGAAACCTGCTTCTAACATAAGCAGAAAACAATCAAGCATCAAGTTACCTGATGAACAGTAGTGCTTCCATTAAAGAAAACAGGTCAGAGGTTACTCTGTCTTTATGACTTAGTGTCATTGGGTCATTTAGACTCACAGTGAAATACAGCAATATCATATTTTCCTAACATCTTAAAAAACCTTCACACCGAGACCTGATCACAGAAACAACAAGTGGCCCACGATAACAGCAAGTCATTTCTCACCCATAAAGATATTGAACATTCAATTAATACATTTATAAAGAAAGTCACAATATAAGTCATAATACTTGCTCTTCTCTATTTAAGCACGTTATGCTACATTAGCATGTTCTTATTCTGAACATATTTTCATAGTATAACAGGTTTGGCATTTGGCACAAGAACAATATATATCATACTTTACAACAAAACTATAATGCTGGTTATAAACTAAATAAGAATCTATAATTTATAAAAAATAATTGGCATATTATAATTGTAAAATCATTCTATTAAAGGCTTAGTTATGGAAGTAACTGCAGTATATGTGACTGTAAACTGCAGTCAGCTGGAGTCTGGCTCCTCTGAACTAAAAACAGGCACAAGTAGAGGCAGAGAGCACATCTAACTTAATAAAACTAAGTATGACACATGCATTACTCACAGAAATGAGTAAATCAGCTATGAATGACGAGAAATAAAGTTCTCCACTGAAGGAGGGTATTTTAAAAAGCAGGATTCAAAGAAATGTAACCAGATAACTTGGAAAAAAGCTTACATTCATTCAGGAAATGTTTGAGCTAATCATGATGTGGACCCTCATATTGACATTTCGTTTAACTTGGAGAAATTATGACTTTCTAGGATATGCTTTTCCACATTATTTGGATCATTTTATGATCCCACTTTTGATATAATATGTCTTGTTTTAATGCAGCAAAGCTCTGCATACACACAGCTGTCCAGATGTGGGCGGCACTATTTTCAGGCTTTGCCCCTTATCTAAATGAGCTCTTTAACTTCCTGTTAGCATTTGACACTCATCTAAGTTCAGCTCTCTGTCTCACCCCCTCTGGTTTTGTGATGCGGAGGAGGTCGGCCAAACTGGGATCTGTGTCTGATGCCTGGAAAGTAGGGAGCCGCAGCCCTCTCTGCACATCCAGAGGCTCAGTCCGTAATCCAGACAACATTCAGGACCTTCACCACCTCCTCATAGATGATGAAGACTATGGCCACGTCCAGACACACACGGCCCAGCCGAGGAACCGCCCCTTTGTAGAAACTGCAGGTGGACATAGAGAGGCAGAGAGGTCATTATAAAACATCATTTCGTTAGGTAGACACATTTATTGATGACTTATACATGTGTGAATGAAATACGAATCAAAGATTATATTCGATGCTGGTTTATAAGATTTAATTCATTAATTTAATGTTAAATGTTTTATTACTGTCTTTACCGTATTGAAAATGTTTTGTGACTTAAACAAATGTTTTAGACAAATATTTCTTATTTAAAAATCCTCCCTCAATAGGTTTCTGGGCTGAGTACTTCCTGATTTAATTATTTTTGACTCAATGTCCAACATATTTTATATGATATTGTGTTATATAAACTGTATATAAATAATTGGATTGAACTAGAGTCAATCATTTGTGTTTCCATTTACAACAGCAAGCTTTAAAAGCAGCAGAGCAGCAGGGATAAGAGGGGATAAAAGCCTGCTGTGCACCTAACTCTATAAACCAAAGCCAAAACAAAACAAAGTGAAGGCGTACTCACGCTGCCAAGCCCTCGTGTCTCATGATCTTTAATCCACAGTCCAATGTGCTTTTATATTTGTGTGCTTCCAGACCCTTTGGAAAGGAAAGAAAGGTATTGTTATTTCTAATCAATGACCACAGGTGGTAACAACTCAACATCTTTTCAACCAAAATGCCAGCAAAGAACACAAAAACCTGTGTTTAATCTCAGCCATCGAGTAATGTACCTGCATCCTTGTCTTGATGACATCTAGTGGTGTGTTTCCAAAGACACTGGCGGCTCCAGCTACAGCTCCAAACGTTCCCGTCACCAAGGGGTTCATGGCTTTATCGGGGTTGTCACCTGGTGAAAGGACATAACTTAGGGAGTCAGTAACAGTGAATGCTTTGATGCCATTTCAGTCCTGGTACATCTCAGCTGAGTGTGTACTGTAGTTACTAGTAGCAGCTCAGACAGCTGTGTCCCAATTCCATACACTATGCAGAATTAGAGTAACATTCATAGCATACTATTGCTGGGTCAGAACATTTTGAATGAAGTCCATTTTTGTAATCAAATTACATGGCAGTTACATAATCCATTGGAAAACATAGAAATGTAATCTAACATGAATATATTTGAAATTATTTCTTTTATTTTTTATAAATTGTAAAAAAAGTATTTGTTATATTAACTTCAAAATCAATTATTAAAAATATTGCACATTTATACTTATATGAATCAAATAATCAAATTATCCTTATCCTAACAGTACTGGCAAAACATGCTGCAACAAACTTTTATTGAAAGTAATAGCATCGGTTTTCATGAAACAAAGTCTGGTATTTTATAAAGTTGTAATCAAAAATGTTATTAAGTAATCCTTGTCAATATAACTTCAATACAGTTTTACTTGCTAATTTATAATCCATTATGACCAAACCCCAACTGTTCCCAGTCTGTATGCTTGCATTTCTTTGCAGGCAGACTTCTGCTTCTCAAAGGATCATGAAGTGTTTAGGCTAAACTCATTTACCAGCCAATCAGCAGTATTGGTCTTTTTAAATATCTCTCACACTTATAAACAGACACACACATACAGTAAATATTGATGCACACTGACCTTTGTACCAGTTCTTGAGAGAGGTCATCACATAGAACCGAATGGCTTGGTTGGAGCCTTGCTTAAGGACTGTGGCAGTGAGACCCTGGTACGTCCCTCTTATTCCTGTAAGGCATGATAAGTAGGTACATTTATTATGCTCTTATATTTAATAAAAATCATCATGTCTGGGTGCAACATGTTTTAATAACATTATGTTTGCAGCTGCATTACCCAGTCTGACCACTAGATGTCAGGTGAGCTACATGCATTGAAGCTGGTGTTTACCTTGGGCATTGATGATCTCCCTGACTCCGTGGTAGAAGCCCTTGTATTTTGGGTTGGCTGATGTCTGGTCATGAATGAATTTAACCTTCAGAGATTAAAAAAAACAAAAAACATGGTCAACCAAAACATGATAATATATTTTTTTCACACACACAAGGTGATAAAAACGGCACAAATGTTTAGTCTGGTCTTCTTTCAAAGTCACTTTTAAATGATACTGTCAATGTGCACAGAGAGACACAATGCTTATCAAACAATACTACTGAGATTATAATAAACTGAGAAGAGTGTTATCACATGTGTCTGCTGCTGAGATTTGTTATAGTAATGTAGCAGATGTTACATTTAGGAAAGTCTAAGAAAAACAGCGTGCTTATTCTGCGGATCATAAATATCTCCTAGATGCTAAATGAGAGTGATCATCCCCTATACCAAAACTATACATTACTTCCATCTGGTCAGAGATACAGAACAATTAAATGGAGAAAAGCTTGCCGCCGGAGTTTTGTTCCTTCTGAAATAGCAGATTAGCCTTGCTGACACTGTTGTCAACAGGAAAATTGAATTAATGTACACAATAAGAAAATGCGTACTGTCTTTATCTGCATGATGCCACGTGTATATCCATCTGTTGCTATCTGTCTGTTGTCAAACATACTGTATATCTGTGTGTTTCTGTGTAGTGGCTGTGGAATCAAGTATCCCTCTGGGACAATAAATCAGGTGGTAACATACCTTAACAGTTTCCATGGGACACACCACAAAAACAGCCTCCAAGATGCCGGCTCCGAGCCCACACAGCAGGCCCTTGGTGCTGTCCAGGCGACCGTTCTCATCCCTCGCACGGTTGCTGAGGAACTCAAACACCCCAAACCTGAAGGGACAGAACAGAGACAGCAGGGAATTATGGGACACGTTAACACAGGATTGATGTAAGGCAAGAAACATAGTTATATTTGGGATTATTGCAGCTTTAAAAACCCAAGATCACAGTGTATGTAAAGATGATCAAGTAAAAGGCTTGAGTACATTTGTAAAATAAAACATACAGATGAGAGTATTGCAAAATAGCAGAATGTACTTGTGCTACTACATCTACAGTATAGCATGTGAAAAAGGACACAGTAGATAATTATCCTACACAACGTCAGCAGGATAATTATCTTTTTTCTGGAAGTACATGAGGATGTTTCCACTCATACATTTATTAATAAATTATAACCACAGGGCAAGAAACTTCCTCAACACCTCAGATTTGAAGTAAAATCAAACAAAAAACTGCTCTCATTTCAGAATATGATGTCAGCTTTTAGTTTATTGTCCTTAGTTTACTGGGCACTAATTAAGGATGCACCAATAAAATGGTGTCTCAGTAACCGGAGAGTGACCAGCAACAGCTGCCATGGAGTCCAGCTCAGAGAGAGCTACAGAGACACAGGTGTGTTTTATGTATCTCTGCAATCAGAAAATGTTGTGCCAGTAAGTCCTGTGCAAGAAATGCTATTTATAGAAGGAATTTAATTGTAGAGAAAGATGGATGCTGCCCGGTACATTTAGCAAAAGGGCGGGGGAGGAAAGACACTTGGCCTTGATGAATGCTTTGTTTTCCCCTCTGACGTTTCTTAGTCTGCTTTAACCATCTACCTGCCGCCATCACAGGACTCATCATACCCGTCTCAGTGCCTTTCTTCCCATCTGCTTTTTTGGTTGAACATTTTCCTCTGCTCATTAACTTTCCACATCTGTTCCTCTGTCTCACTCCTTGCACACATTCAGTCCTGAAAGACTACACAATTAACTGACTCCTACTGTTGAACCGAAACAAACAACACATGAAAATAAATCCATCCTTCGCTCTCTTATGCACACCGCTTGCTCATTATAAATAGTGTTTTGGCTTTGGAGAGAATAAAAAATGAAAGATTGTACTTAGGCTGCACCGAGATGGCGGTGCACTTAATGCCTAACCTTGTGAAACAAATGCTATTGGTTAAAAGCTGCTGGAGAGAAATATGCCACTGTCAGGCCTGGTCCTGTGCCAATTTACTCCCTGAATACTCCTCTCCCCATTTAGCAAGTGGACTAAACTTCAGCGTTCAAATGTGACACATCGCGTTTTGGCCGACATTCACAGTCGGAGATGAGTCATTCTGGACAGTGCTGCCAAATCTTCATTAGTGGGTCTTTCTACAAGGTCAGTTGTGCTGATTACAAGAGGAGGTGAATAAGAGAGAGAAAAGGGCCATCTGGAGACTGAAAAGGAAAGAAAGAAAGGAAGCTGGGCAGACAAGGGCGAGATGTAAATATGGATGAAGGGTTAAGGGGAGGAAAAGGTCAAAGGCTCTCTTGTCTGTCCCTCTGATAGCTCAAGCAGGCGGTGTGACGCATGATGGTGCACAGGCAATCAGTTAATGGGATGGGGGAGAAAGAGGGTTGAGGAGGAAAGGAGCGATATACAGGGGGAGGGGAAGGATGCTAGAGGAAGTAAGAAGAGAACAGATCGACCAAGCGACTCAGGAGAAGTGATGATCAATGAAAGTGCCACGGTATTCTCAATAAATCTAAATCTAACTGCTTCCAACGGCTTTAAATCTCCCCGTCATGTTCCATGTTTGTAATCAGTTTTTCATGTTTTGCTGTAAATAAACTAAAGGGGAGGCAAATGTATTTATATAGCACCTAATCGTACACAAGTGCTCTACAGGCACAGG